AACAACACTAATCTCTCTTCTTGGATGCACTCTTCTTGTTGCGCATCCGTGTTTCAGTTCACTCGATCTCTTCGAGTGGTGAACCTTTGGCGCAGGCTGTGTCTCTATACAGGTGCCGGAAGATGTTTCCAGAGTGTAGTGGCCTTCTACACTGTGATTTGCTGCAGTCGCAATAACGACCGTACCATAGGTGAGGCCATCGCACTCACTCGTAGTACATCCACACGCTTGTGGACGCTCAAGGTCACTCATCAGATGGACATCTGATGAACAAACGGCAGGCATCTTCACGGATCGATGCTGCCAGCTGATCTATAGCTGGTATTTTTAAGCCATGTCAGACCGAGGATGACATCAAATTTTTCATCGAGATCAAGACAATGAAGTCATCATCGTACTGATTTTATTCTAGCGTGTAGTAAATTCCCACTACACGTCTTTTCACTGTTACAGATGTGCACGTTGCAAGGCACACCGTCATTCTCGTTGGAGGGATATCTCGCTCAATATAGTTGAGTCTACTATCCTCTAGCGACTGGCGTCGAATAGAACTGTTTGACGCCCCACAGTCAACTAGAGCGCGAAGTGACATTCCACTTGCCACTTCGATCTTCAAAGTGATGAGGGACACCTCATCACTAGGGGCAGTAACACACATCTACTGTGGGTTGGAAGCGATCTTCATCAAGAGTCCTGCAAATTCTCTTGACGTTGCTGGATCAGCAGGGTGCTCCGCCCCTACTGACCCTATCCGTTTTTTTACGTTCCAACTTGCTGTCGCGGCTTAGCGACATGGTCGGACCCGCGCCTTGGACCTTTCTTCGGCCAACGGCGGTCATCACGTCTTGCCTTTGGACGTGATGCAATGCTTGGGATAATACACTCATGAGCGTAGTTTCCGATCATATGAAAGCGATGGCATCTTGCCGTTCTCTTGTGACTCAGAGAGAGAGAGATCTCGCTCTCGATGTAACAGAGGTCCATTGGTTCGGGACCTCCTGTTTCCTGTCGCCTCGTCGGACGATAGTTTGACGAGTTAGCCTGAGACTGTCTCAGGCTGAAGTCTTCTTGTTCCGCATACGCTTTCACCTATTCCAGCATATGTAGGTCCTCTCGGAACATGTAGGTCTTCACCGGCCGGTCTACAAGGCCGTAGATGAACACGTTAATGAGTGTGTGCTCATCAACAGGGTTTTCCGTGACGCTACTCTTAAGTTAGCTTAGGTGTTGTGAGTAATCGTGCACGTCACGCTTACCTTGCTGTATCCTCAAGAGTGCACAGCGTGCTTTGAACTCGGCTCTCGGCGGCTCAAACATCTAGACTTCAAGATCGCTAACGACTCAAACACGTTTATGTCGTGAAGCTTGAGCCCTAAAGCCCAATTCTTTGCTGGTCCTGTCAAATTTGACAGGGAGAAGCTGACTTGCATCTCTTCACCCTCGATGTGACGGGCCCTGATGGCGTCGTCTAACTCGACAAACTATCTCAATCGATAATCTTCATCGGTTCTCTTGTACCTTGAGATATCAATATTCAAGGTAGTAGGTCGATGCGTGCGACTGACCGCCCATAGAATGATGAGAGCCTTTCTGTTGTAGCAAGGCTATCTTCTGTCCTTTGAAAGCAAGGTCTTCTTGTAGGAACTTGTTGATAGCGGCATGTTGCTAGTCTTTGTCTAGAGACTCCAACATGCCACTGATGGCGGCATTACCCATGAGCACACTCATGTGGCCGACTACCTCGCATTCTGAGTCACTCGGATGGGAGTAGCCTTCACGTGTGACGTGAAAGCTGTCGTCTTCTAAGTCCGACATGTCCATGTTTAACGAAAACTAAGTAGTTGTTGGACGGACTGCAAAGTGCTGCCAGGTGTAACGGGAGTGCTGCCAGGTGTAATGGGGCACCCTTTGTTTGGGGTGCCACGAATTTTTTCGCAAACTAGTATGGCAGAGGAAGATAATTTGCTTAACAACTATGCTGAGTAAAGGGTAAAAAGAGAACTTTATCTTATAGAGTTAAGCTATTAACATAACTTCAGTCTTTATCCAACTATATAATCTAAATATCCGTATGACGACAACCTGCTCACCACTCATTACGCGCGTCTAGCAGCGATTGATGGTGACCTTGGTTGATATGTCTTTTATCAACCAATCTTGGAGCAGCGCATGAATATTATCCACAAGGGGACAATATCCCTTCAATTGGTGGGGAATTGTTACGCTAGACAATCTCCCTATTGACACTGTTTGGTGTCAATACCATGCAACGGGATGCCCCGTTACACCACCGAACAAGCGAAATTGAGAACTGATGGAGGGAGACGCCTATGGAGAAAGTAGTTTAGCTCATTACAAGGCATCTAGTTAACAACGGGGACCGCGCCAACATCGTGCTGTACCTGCTATTATGCAGAAACCCATCGAATTCTACTGATATACCGATTATTGACCCTTAGCTCAAGAAAAAGGTGAGGCCCTGATGCAGTGTGCCGTATGCTACACTTGGATAAGGCATAATTCGTTGAAATTCTGCCGGAATATCCAATTGTGTGGCTGAGGTGCATCGTGAAGTACAATGAGCTGGAAAGGTCAAGCCTAATTTTATTAAAGCAGCAGCGGATCCGTTACAACAAAAAGTGGGGCTGCAATTCCATATCAGTACCTTTATTGATGAGATTAAACAGCATACAAAACTTAATCTTGTTGTTGGGATCCTAGAAAATTGCTACAGAGTGGAAGTATGAGATGCTGCAATCCAAGATGATTACAAAATGGGAGAAAAGAAACGATTGGTGGCAATTTAAGTCAACACCTAGTACTCTTGCGCATTACTATACTGGGACGTAGAGATCAGCGCTGCTAGGGGTGGACTCGAGCAATGGCTTTACGTCAAGAGATTTTGCTGCTGCCTGAGTAGACGGTGCGGACTGCTACAGTACTCGCTAGTATAGGACCTCGTGGTTCTCCAGGCTTTTACTGCGAGCCTTGCGCAGTATACATTGCCTTTGTCCTGAGCTAATTCACAAGAAAACATACCTCTTTGACTGCTATTTGTTCCTGCGTAGTATAGACTTCTGCACAACAATAAAAGCCACAAGAACATCGTTTTGCCAACAATCTGCCCTTTTACTATATAATCGATCAGGTATAGGCCAACGGATCCACAGTTGAACCGAACAATCCACCTCCTACCCCCCCAATTTAATCATCCAACTCACCAAACTTTGATCTTGTTCTAACTCAGAATACATCTAATTCTGATGGAGCCACCTTCAAACACCGAAGGGCTATTAGCGGCTCCCTAGATATTTCAAATACAGGGAGCCGCTAAGGAGCTTTTACGTTTCGCTGATGAGCCTCCATCCCATACATTAACCAAGCTATCAACTTTAAGATATGGGAGCAAGTTCTGGAGCTCGCCTTTTGATCTAAATAATCCAGTTCTAAGAACCAAATCGAGTTGCAAAACAATATACAATAGTAGTCACTGAAGAAGGAGCATGATGCTGTTAATGTATGTAGTAACTCAATAGAATGCGAGGGAAACGCGATCAGGCTTTGCTTATGAGCGTCCAGCATTTGCTTATGTGATCGTATTCGCCTTTGATCGGTTTTAAGCTAATCACGTGCGTGCATCACAATATTGATCTACCCACAGAGCGATACCTATCATGCTAATCGACCTATGGGGGGGGGTGACAGGCCGGATCCTATTTTGCACCAGTAAGGTACACCTAACCGCGTAATTTACAGATACACGGACACACAGATAAGTACGATTTTACAGCTCGGCATTCAGCCTTGCGCACAATTACTTATCGCTTCACCCTTCGGCTCGCAATCAAATTGCTGTGACGGCGGTGCCGGCGCCGGCGGGCAATAAGCTACAGAGCACAAGATGAGAGAGCACGGCCATTGCAGTATGTAGATAAAGTCCATATAGACGAAAGCTCAATCCATCCGCTTTCTCACCTCTATCGTGGCTGTGTAAGACGTGCAAACGTTCTGGAACTTGTTTTAAGCTACAAGGAAAAGGAACTGAGTGGTAAGACCCATGTAAATCGTTTCTAAGCGTGAGTAAGATAGGGTGTGCTCCAGAAGAATATCTATTCTGCAACTCAATGACTTGCCAATCATCGGTCGGGAAGTGACAGTTCACAACATCGATGTTTGACTCACCATCTCAGCAACTAAAATGCGAGAGAGCATACCAACTATTGTGTCATTATCAGCCACGTTCAGGATACTGTCAATGGACGGGCTGCGAATTCACATTACCGAGATGGGCTTTCATATACACGGAACACCCAGATTTGCACGGCTTGCTTTCGTTGCATAGCCTTTAGGTAAAATCTGCGCTGTCCGCGTTCGTCGCATGTGTGTAGCTCGCGCTTGGCACATGCACTACTTGTCTGACAATACGCTTCCATATGTAGATACGCCGACTTTTGCGATCGACCAGGTCACTTTGACATGATAAAAAGCTTCTGGCTGAGTTGGATTGGTTGAAGTAACAGACGCCGGTTACTTGGCTGTAAGGTGTAGCTGGTAGAATTTTCGACCCAGAATAGGTAATAATCGATCGATATGTCCTACAATACTCATACAAAGTTCTGATCCATCTAGAATGCCATAACCACGATATTCACATTTTAGCCAAAGGAGCTAATTCTCAAGTTTAGGACGGCTGTTCACGGCGTCCTTCCGCCGATCATGAAACATTTTGCGTTTTGTATCTAGTGAACTCAGACGCTGAGTATTGTTCATTTATCACAAAAGTTAAGCAGGAAATGTTTGTGCTGCAACAGACCAGATACGGATAGTACTGTGGGGTCTACACTGAACAGAATCAACGCGCAGGCTCACCCGTGTCTTCTTTGAACGATCACACAAAAGTCAGAGTTGAGTGTAAAACGTATGTCTTTGTTCGTGACAAGCTCGCGCTTTTTAGTGTGATCAATGTACGGTCCATCGCACACACCGCGAACAGACCAGAACTAGTAAACGCGCGCAAAAGGCGGGACATGCTTGCACTCGTTCTCATCCAGCGTCTGGTCTTGCACCGCACGGTAAGCAACGTGCGTCTTGCCCTCTTCGTTGTGGTAAGCAATCGTATGCTTCATCCAGCTGTCATCGTCACGTTCCGTAAAGTCCTCTCGAGCATGGGCGCCACGAGACTCCTTACGAGCTTCAGCGCCATGCATAGTACACGCTGCACACGCCAGCAGATTACGCAACTCCAGCGTCTCCATCAGGTCTGTGTTCCAGATGAGCGAGCGGTCGGTCACCTTGATGTCGCCGAACTTGGGCACCACTTCGTCGATCTTTTCCTTGCCAGCCGCCAACGACTCCTGCGTGCGGTACACAGCAGCATCCGCCTGCATCATCTTCTGCATTTCCAGACGCAACTCGGCCGTGGGGATGCCACCGTCAGCGTATCGTAATCGGTCCACGTCCTCAATAGCCTTCAGACCACCATCCTTGGGCATCGAGCGCTTCTTCTCACCAGGCTTGGTCAGCTCGGTAATGCGCTGAGCGCACGCACGGCCAAACACCACCAGGTCAAGCAGAGAGTTGGCACCCAAGCGGTTTGCGCCATGCACCGATGCGCACGCAGCCTCACCGGCTGCGAAAAGTCCCGGCACAACCTTGTCCGGATACAACTTGCCAGGCTCCGGCAGACCATCAACGTCAGGTACGACCACTTCGCCCAGATAGTTCGTAGCAATACCCCCCATGTTGTAGTGTACCGTAGGCAGCACCGGGATGGGCTCCTTCGTCACGTCTACGCCAGCGAAAATGGCAGCCGTTTCCGAGATTCCCGGCAGACGCTCATGCAACAGCTCGGGCGGCAGGTGGTCCAGATGCAGAAAAAGGTGGTCATGATTCTTGCCCACACCGCGACCCTCACGGATCTCCATCGTCATGGCACGCGACACTACATCGCGCGAGGCCAGGTCCTTGGCCGTCGGAGCGTACCGCTCCATAAAGCGCTCGCCTTCCGAGTTCCGCAAGATACCTCCTTCACCACGCGACCCCTCCGTGATCAAACATCCAGCACCATAAATGCCCGTGGGGTGGAACTGCACAAACTCAGGATCCTGCAACGGGATACCAGCGCGGAGAGCCATACCCGTCCCGTCTCCCGTGCACGTGTGCGCCGACGTGCACGAGAAGTACGCACGTCCATAGCCACCAGTGGCCAGCACCGTATTGTTCGTATGGAAGCGGTGGAACGTGCCGTCTTCCATGTTGAACGCCATGACCCCCACACACTCGTTCGCGTCATTCATGATCAAATCGAGTGCAAAGTACTCGATAAAGTACGACGTGTCAAACGCCAGCGAGCGCCCGTACAGCGTGTGCAGCATGGCGTGACCCGTGCGGTCAGCAGCGCACGCCGTTCGACGCGCTTGACCGCCCTTGCCAAACTCCAGACTCTGTCCTCCGAACGGACGCTGGTAGATCTTGCCTTCTTCAGTGCGGGAAAACGGGAGCCCAAAGTCTTCGAGCTCACGCACAGCCTCAGGCGCCTACACAGTCCACCCACCACAAAAACACACATAATGTAAGCCACACCAAATACAAAAATGTACGTGTCACACACCAAATAAAGACAAACCGACGTAAAATCATCACAAAATATAGACCGGTTCTCAAACCCACCTCTCGACACATGTAGTGGATCGCGTCCTGGTCGCCCAGCCAATCACTGCCCTTGACCGTGTCGTACATGTGCCACCGCCAATCATCAGGCGACATGTTCCCCAGTGCGGCGTTGATCCCGCCCTGGGCGGCCACAGTATGGGACCGCGTGGGAAAGAGCTTCGAGATGCACGCAGTCTTCAGTCCTGCCTCTGCGCAGCCCATTGCGGCACGCAGACCGGCACCACCGGCGCCTACCACCACCGCGTCGTACTCGTGGTCCACGACCGTGTACTTGGACGTCAGCGCCGACGTTTGCACGCCAGCCACTGACGCCCTGGAGCTCTGGACGGCAAAGCTGCGACGATGGACTGCTGGACGAGTCAGACGCAGCGACTTTGCCTGGAAGGGGTGTATCATCTTTGACAGGGTTTGAGGTCACGATCACGGTTCGTTGCAAAAGCGGAACTGAGCGGGTCCGGACATCAGGGCGCCAATAGCCGCAGATAGACAGACAGTGGGTGGGTGGGTGAAAGAGCTTGCGATTTGTATGGACCATACGAAACGCGAGTGGATGATAAAACCTCGATCGAGGTTTGAACTCACAACGTCCCCGCTTTGTGCGACGAAAAGCCATTTCGAACGACAGCGTAGCCGTTATCGAGCCGCGTCTTTTTTAACGAGTAGGCGGCTTTGAACGAACTTGCGAGTCATGGAAGGAGGGCTGTAGAAGAAGGTTGTGGGTTGGTGTTGGTGACGCTTGCATGTCAATAGATCTTTTTGCAAGTGCAGTTACGAGACAGATAGGGTGATTGTATTGTAATTACTACGTGCTCTCACCAACACACATGCATTTGCCGCCCACGTGAATATCCATGAGGATGTATGTAAGGTCCTCTCTGAGTGTACCGAGCTTGACTTTGGCATCTGCGTCGATTCTGCTTTAGTTACGGGACTAATGATGTAGAGAACAATCGGTTCTGTTTGAGCTGATGGCGCTCAAGTCGGTAGGAAAGTCTCGCGGTCACTTGAAGAGAAGGTTGCGTAACTCGAAGAGCTGGTTGTGGGCATGCAAGATAAGGGCTCTCGAAGAAGCTGCTGGTTGACAGGAGAACACTAAAGAATTCACTCGAATTCGTGAGACCCTGCATCTCTCATGTTTATGTTGAAGCAGTTGCACAGGGCATCGAGTTGGCGATGAGTGCACTACACCCGTTGGTCACACTCATGGTGGTTACTAGGCAACGCGAAGTATAATTTCGGCGGGTCGTGCGCTTGATGCTCTCGTTGCTGTTAGGTTGTCACTTCTTGATGCACACGAAAGCACAGTGCATCAATTTCTCAGCTCAGCATCTCTGCGCCCAATCTGCAATGAGGTATGTCCCTCAAATTTGTGCGTGAAGCGGCCCTGCCATTCCGCAGCCTGCATTGGACTGCATCGACCAGCTTTGGATCAAGGTTCTGTATCTTAATCATGTCGTCTGCTTGCCCGCACGCGGCTTCTGAGTGTAGAATGATTCTGACGGTGCATGCAGTTCTGCAAGCAGCTCGTGTCGCTCCATCAGCGTCTGGATTCGACGTCTCCTCCACTCTTGCAGCTTTTTACGCTCTAGCCTCAGCTAGCATATTGCTCTTCCAGGTGCAAGATGTCATGTAGTGAGACTCCCACAAGCAGACCGCGTGCATCTAACAGCTTTAAACATTTTTTGAACGCCGCTTAAGCGTGTACGGAGGTTTTCGTGATGCGCTTGACCGATTAAATAAAGCTAATGCAACAAGTACAGACCAACGAGTCCAGCTCCAAGCGACCTTGACATGGCCGTTAACATGTCTTGAGCTTGAAGCGACTACAACGAGTACACAGATACACCTCAAGATGCCGTGAGGTCGCAGTGAGGTTGCGACATTGTTGAAAGTCTAATGATCACTCAACCGTCAAGCCATGCAGCTATTCACGAGTCTGTTCAGGTCTTCACAACTACGATAAACTGATTGGGATACAGAGCTTTTCGTGTCTTTGGAAGTAACGCTGACAAGTTTTGTCGCTTGCCTCCTTTGGCTTGGTGTCATACTGCTGGCTAACACGTAAACTTCCCTCGCAACGATTCCTCATTCGTACGTAGTTAGATAACCATGCAGGTGTCGGGCAATGGTCGAATGACTCGCAACACTGGCCGAGCTTTTTACAGGAGGTTCCTGCAAGTATCGGTAACGAAGTGCTTAAGGGCACCCACGAGATAGCGAGTAGAAGCGTAGGTGTTTGTACCCCATCGAACTCAAACCCATCAGAAGCTCCATCAGCCTCTTGTTGCGCGGCAGTCATTATTCGAATTCACATGCGTTTCTCTAGTGGGCGTCAGAGCTGCTACGCTCTCTACTCGAAGAATAAGTTACGCTCATCACTTTACGCGAATGCAGCATACATGGATGTACAATCGCTAATGGAGGTGTTAGTATACATGGATGTACACTCGCTGGTTGAAAGACTATAGCGATGAACTTACTTCAGTACTTCCACGAGTATGCGCTCGCGCACCTTTGCGAGCCGCATAAGCTCACCGATGCGTATACACTTGTGGCCGATCTCCGTATCAGCTGCTGTAAAGCACAGTTTAATTACCAGGCAAAATGCAGCAAGGTTTTAGAGTTGCAATTTGCCACCTCGTTTTGAAATAACCGTAGACCGCACCACGTCGTCCAATTCGCGTTTTTTTGGGTCATTCAAACGTCCTTTACTAAACCCCGTCTTTTGTCTCCACGTTTACTTATTTAGCCCCTCCTTTTAGCGACGCTTTACACTGTCGTTTCTAAATCGCACAATAATGGGCACGGGCTCTAAGAGCACCGCTCCGACAGAGACGCCGAGCGCTGCTCCTGCGGCCGTTGTCGCCAATAATGCACCAACTGCATCGCCCTTGCACCACACAGGTCCATCCCAAGTCCCTCCGCGCAAAAAGGACGCCCGTAAGACGTCGCATGCGGCCTCTGGAGGCACAAGCGTGAGCATGAGCAAGAAAGCGGCGGACGGCAGTTTGGACGCGCTGGGCGGCGCTGCCGGCCTCTCCAGTGGCGATCTGTTTGCCCGTAACTTGTCTGCGATGAGTGTGGCGCACGTGGCCAAAGGCGTGGGCTTTGACGCCGTGCAAAAGTCGGCCGCCGACGCGCTCTCGGAGATCCTCGCGAAGTGTGAGCAATTATTGCACGATTTCTATCGTCCCACTATGTTTCTAATTTAGAAATCCATTATTGTGAATCAAATGGCACACGCAATTAATTAATTGTTGTGGTTTGAAATCAGATATTCAACGCCTGGGAGGAGCGGCGAAGGACATGGCCGAGCTGGCTGGACGGACTCAAGTGAAGGCAACGGATCTGGTCCAAGCACTTCAGGACCTGGAACCAAGTGCCGTGGACATGAAGGACCTGGTCAAGACTTTAGGCACTGCCAAGAGACCGTTTCCAAGAGATGTACCGGCTTTTCCAGCTCGAAAGCGAGATGTCTCAAGCTCGACCATGGAGCAGACGAAGATTGGACGACGGGAGCAATTGCCGCCTCACGTGCCGAGTTTTGTGCCGCCGCTGCCGAATCGTCATACGTACAGCTCCGAGAGTCGACTGGTGGTGGAGAGAGAGCAAGATACGAAACGGCAGCGGCTCGAGCTGATCAGTGAAAAGGCTCAAGTGCGGCAGTCGCTGCATGGCCTTCAGACGGTGGCTGCTAGTACGTCGTGAGGGGTTGTATGCTGCCCCGGTGTAACTGGAGATGGATTGTGACTGTTGGGTGTGTTTCTGTGGTTGATATCGTGGCAGAACGATCAGCTGTTAGTGTGCACCAGCCAACGTGGAATGCATTTCAAGGGTCGACAGGAGATAGCGCTACGGGGAACCCGTTCGTGCAAGCACCAATTGTCAGTCCGAATGCCAAGGTAGGTTTCGCACTTGCTCCATCTCGTATCGCGAAGTCTCTCGAGCTACTGATGTGTATTGCTGTAGTCTATTTTCACCTGCCAAGATCGTCAGTTTGTACCGAAAGTGGAGAGAAACACGGCACAGTCCAAAAATCAGCTGAACAACAACGTGACTATTCCGAAGCTGTCGAGGTACGCTGTGCTTTGTCGTGCATGCGTCGTCCGCGCGGCGAAGGAATTGATGCTGGTATCTTATGGTCTGCTGCTGCTGCTGTATGTTGTTGTTGACTTGCGCTAGCCAAGAAATAGGCAAAGAAGAAAAGATTTTATCGGGCACTTTTCACGACGGCGACTCCGAGTAACACGAACAAGCGGTAATACAGCGCTGTCCACAGCTCTTTTGAGGGTCAGTCAGCTTGCGTCTTTTTTGCCTCGATCACTTAACCCGCAGGTGGACACGGAAATGCACGTACAGATTCAAGCAGCACGGTGCAAGTATTACCGTGAAGCTGATATTCTTCTTTGAAGCATTACGCTACTCTGTCGTCTGGTGCGCTGATCGACATCGGGATGTCATCCATCTGGAGTTTTATAAACCCTCTCGATCGGGTAGTGCCAGCACCTACTTTGGCCTTCCTGCTTTGCTGGCATGTGATCTTGTACGCGACGAAGCCAAAAAGGATGATGATGAAGACACTCAACGGAGTCGCAAGTACCACAGGCGGTCCGAAGCCAACACCGTTCGATGTATCAGTGAGTGCTGTTGTGCAACGAGGGCCACCCCAGGCATTTGACGGACAAATGCATCGGTCATTGCGGTCACACGTGCCGGTCAAGACGTGGGAAGTGCTTACAGTGCAGTCGCGTTCATGTTTGCAGTTGGCTCCACCGTGGACTTCGATCACCTTGTTCTCTTCCGTCTCGTACTCGTCAATGTGGTCTTCGATCCATTGTTTCGTTGGATGTGTGGAAGGATCACAGCCGATAGCCATGGTGGAGCTGGGCGATAAATCTTGGTAGATGCGGATGTAGTCAATCTTCATGTACATGGGGAACCCGTCACAAATGGCATTGGTCTGTGCGTCAGAGCCATCACCACGGCAAGGTAATCCCGGGTTCGGCGGTGTGGTACCCCAGCTCGTCGAAAGCGCGACGTTGAAGATCACGTACATGGGCTCTTCCAGCATGATCTTCTTGGGGTTGGACTTTGCGGCATCTTGTGGTACATTTTCGACAGCATCGGCCGGGATCTCAAACATTACAACGTCTTCGAGCATCCAGCGCACATATCCATCGGACCCCATCACCCACTCAACCTGATACTTCAAGTAACTTGTGTACGCAGCAGTTTGTACAGGCCAGTTGGCCGAAATGGCGTCCATTTGGTACTCGAAAGGCTCCATGACGTTGCCGCCAGGTTTTCCTGCTGCTAATGGTGCCAAGCATTTGGAATTTGAACTGTCTGGATCACACAAGAAAGCTCCTGTGTATCCATTGACGAGTGGCATGCATCCTCCGACGTCGTTGATCCCCCAGTGCCTTGTTCCGTTGCCATCGATGAGTTCGAGACTGGAATATCCATCACCGGAAGCTGGGCACATGTTGACTTCAGTGCACATGTTGCTCGTGTAGCCTTTCTTCATGTTTTTGATCACCGTGTCCGCATCTTGCTTCAGGCTGCCCATCGGTGTGCAGAGTGTATTTGGAGCATATCGAAGTCCTTGGTACCAAGTGTTGTGCTTTCTAGCGGCGTATGTTTTGGTTGGAATGCCAGGGAAGTTCGCGCCCATAGTTTTGCAAGTTGCAGTGTACACACAGGACTGATCGGCATCATTTGTCGGCGGTATGATTCGAAAGTCATTCGGCATGCCAGGTGCCAGTTGAATACTTGTGGAGATTATGTTGCCAGCTCCTTCAAGCAAGTCGATTTCCGGAGCTCCTCTTCCTTGATACGGATTGAGACCGTGCCCAGGACGTCCGTCACAGGCATTGATTCTCTGGCTAGTTTTTAACGTCTTGTCACATTCGTTGTAGCTCCAGGGCCACATGCGACTTGTGGATTGCGAAAAGAGTGCTCTGCCCAAGTTTCCCAATAACCAAATACCGGGCCACGTCGGGTAGAACTCCGTCGATTCCACGCGGTTGTTGATGTTCTTCATGTCTGGGTTACTCGAGCTTACGGTTGCTGGCAATTGTGCAACGACTTCCATCCGCCCTCCTTGAAAGCAGAATTTGTTCCACGATTGGATCATCCCAGCCCGATAGTACATGTTGTGCGTCTCGAAACCTGCTGGCTCGGCGTAGTTGTTCCACACGGTGTACGTGATATTCTCGTCTTCCATGATCTTGATCTGGAAAACACCTCGACCGTCAGGCTCGGTCAAGGTGCTCGTCATGTTGATGCTGTAGTATTCCAAAGCTGCGTTCACGCCGTCAGGCATCTCTACTGCCGTCCACATGTGATCTCTTCCAGGTGCAAAATTGCGTCCAGGAACGTTGAACTCGTCACTCATGACCAATGTCCACGTATCTCCTCGAGATGACGTGAGGTTGTACACGGACTTGGGTGTGTCAACATCCACCCATGGTTTCAATCCGGATCGGGACGAAATCGTCAACTCCGCTGGTTCCGAAGTTCCCAACTTGACCACAACTGCAAGCACTGCTGCTGTGACCTGGAATCCGTGCGTAACCATTTTTGTTTGACAATGGACCAGCGTCTTGTCGATCAAAAACCGAGATGAAGAATGAAGCGAAGGACGAACGGATGTGCCTTTTGGGGATGAAAAAAAAAATAAGAGGGCGTCGTCTTTCTCGGCTGTGTCAAAGGTGAAGGCAATACGCGCGTACGAGTCACGGGAAAGAAATAACGGATGCTGAGTTTACCATTGCACACTCTGCTGACCTGAATGTGGCGTCGGGTCGTTTGCTTTTAGTGCGCGAACTGATTCATCCGACGTCGAAAACGGTTTCACGACGCAGCGAAGAGTCAAGGGTCGCGACGGCGTTACGAAGCGTAACAAACACTTTTGAATCTACCATCAACAGCCGAATGCTTTGACTCGGTGTCTCAAAGCATCAACTGACACATTCGCTAACTACTCGTTGACCTCCTCGTATGTCTTGTACTTATCGTAGCTAGCTGTACGAAGGTGTTTGTTTGTACGATGTCAATGCGTGGCTGCAGTGTCACTTCATATCGTTGCCTTGACCAACCTTGCTACCTGCATCTCATCAAAGCAACTTGTTTGCTTCACGACCCCAGGGGGAGTTCCTAGTGAGGCTGGAGCTGGAAAGATGAATACCTTCACTTGTATACTTGCCAAGCATTTGTCGGCTCGAAGCCCCTCTTGTATGCAAGCACGGGTGCATCCCGATCTAGCTTCCAATGTAAGCACTTCTGGAGGCCAGGCGTGTCAATCATGCTCCTTGCACGCACTGAGGGGTGTATACACGTCCTCGTCTGTAAACGCACAAATGTTGCCCCCCGCCTCCGTGCAGACCGGTCCATGAGTAACCTCTTATCGTTAGAAGGTCGCGTCATGTTCCTAGCTCATAAGTGGCGGATGAAAACCTACCGTCAACATAAATGCAGCCCTTGCCAACGTTAGTCCCGCTCTCGTTCAGCCAAAAGGCTAGTACTGCTTACGCACCTGCTTCTTTCCTATCGCGAGGCTGAGCGAGATGTCAGCCTCTGTAGCAACGACCCCACCATCCTAACTTCATAGTAGAAGAAAAGATGATGCGAAAGGGTCATCGGTGCAATATGCTGATTCAACCAGCAGTAGCAAGTGATCGAAGTGTTCCCAAACGATGTACCTGAACGAGTTCATCGTGCTTTCAAGCAAGCGGCTTTGATCCAAACCAGCCTGGGAGAACACGATCGCATCAACTGACCGCAATCAAGGTCCTCAAAACCGGAGAGTTGGACAACCGGAATCGAACCACCTACAACGCTCGGGCTTGATGCTTTCCGCTTGTGTCTCGTGACACAACCTTCACCAGTTTCTGAGTCGACGCGTCACCGCGGCGCAAACATTAACTCGACCTTGAAGACCAACCCTGGCTTAGGTAGCGTGAAGCGTCCTTGACTTTCGGGTTTGCCTGGCTTAGAGCTTTCTCCAGAGATAGAAATGAACAGAACCCGAAGTCGCATGTGCAGCAATTTGTCAGTTAGCTGCGACTGCTTGCTTACACAAACTCCACTGCGACGCAAGCTGCGTATACGGCCTTTTCCAGTCAGAATGTCGGTCAAAGCTGCGTTCATTTGAATCAATACAGCGCATCCATTTTGAGTCGATACAGCGCTACGACACCCAAAGCCCAGTCTTTCATTTGCTCTGCACCCTTCAGTGCTTGTCGTCGGCAGAGTTCCATGCTTGATTCACTCCTCTTCTCTTCTTTTCCTATGGTGGATCGCTATCCGACGTACCTTGTTTCTCCATCCCATACGCGCTTATCGACAAACTGTAAACAAGGGTTGAGATCATGACACCGGGCAATATGACCTGCTATCAATAGACACTTGCTGAAGCTAATGGCACCTTATCAGACGCACCTGAAACCAGTCAATTGTATGTTTGCATGTACCTACCTCACCTCAAGCGTCGTCGGTCCATCCAGTCTCCACCACTTCCCGTAGTATACTAACGTCTCCATTCTCAGTGTATCTATTGAATAGCCTTATACCTTTTCACAATCTCCCTCATAGTTGGGCAAACAAAATCTCGCCCTGATCATCCACCAGCTTCACCATGCGATAGAATTGGCGTTCGGTCCACTTCTGCTGTTGGAGAAGTTGCTGGGGTCACTCTGCTAGCAGACGCTTTCGGTCGGCGCTGATAGAAGAGCATGTATGCTTCACACTGCAACACTTGTTCAAAGGACACACGTTTGACGAGTGTGTCCGAGACATAGTACCACGTCCTCGACAACCCATCCTTGTTTCTAGGCGTTGTCACCTCGGGAACTGCAGCGCCACCTCCTTCTGAAGCAAGGCGGCTGCGTCCACGAGCTGCAATAACAGTCTCACGCCGGCGTGACCGGCTGACGTATGCAACATAGTGGCCCGAGCGTTTGTTGCCCATATGCACCACAACTGCGATAAGATAGTAACAAAGCAAATGCGTTTTCGCATCTCCACCACCTTGGCGGAGTGTATCGCTCACGTAAGGAGTCATGTCCAGTTTGCCGTCAAAAGCGATATGCTGCGTAATCTTTCGGGAGCGTGCCAGACGCTTTATATGCACCACGAGAACACGAGGTAACGCCGATACAAAAAGCTGCATCGATGCATCGCGCAAGACCACTTCCATTTCAGGTTCAGCATTCGGACCGAGACGTTTCTTGCGTATAAATCGACCCGCCGCGCTGCGCACCATCGGCTGCCTTGAGCAAGCCTCGCATTCATAGCCGTTGTTGGCTTCCACCAGCAATTGAGTTTCGGCTACAAAATTATTCAGACAATCCGCAGTCGTTAATTCCGAACGTCGATCGGGCACTGACACGCTTATATGAAATGCGTCTTCCACGATCTCCGTTCGCTTGCTGCACGCCTTGCAGGTCACAGCTGTCGTGAGTGCCCCGCCAAACAAGTTTCGCGTAAAGTTCAGCCTCGAGTACATCTTCCTCTTTTCAACTCGACCGTGGGAAGCAGCACCTGGTCGCGAAGAAAGGGTGGCGCGGGTGTCAGCCTTAGATGCGTTCAGCATCATATCGTCTTCATTCAGGTTGAGTCGTTTGGCTAACAAATGCTGCACATCCTTCACCGTCGCATGTTTCGGCACTTGCATCGAGATCGTCTCGCCAGTCTCTCTCTTCACAAAAATCTGTTTCATTTCCTCTTGCTCCGAGCAATCTGCGTCGCTCTCACTATCTCCCTCCGCTGTATCCTGTACGTACTCTCCGATCTGCTCACTCTCTACCGTGTTGTCTATCGACCACGTCCCATGACGACAAGAGGAATCATCTCCGTCATCATCTGGAAAGTCAGATGAGTTTGTTGAACAGCAACTATTGCTCGTGTCGTTGTCGACAGAAGCAGACATCGAAGGTCCCTCGTCAGGACGCAACAACGGAGGATCTATCTCCTCATCAATTGCCCAAAGAAAACTGGCAAACAGCTCGTGCGCGTCTTGCTGATAATGACCACGAAACTGCACAAACTTCTTACGCATTTCCTTGAGCAACGGTGCCACAGTCAGTACCGAAGAGGACCCGGAGCGTGACCGACTACTCTCGACTTTCACAGGCCGATCCACAGCCAACTCGCCTGTAAGTGCCTTTCGCGCACGCTTTTTCACTGTCTCATGCAGCATCCTACGTCAAGGCAGCAGCACAATACATTAAAGCAATCCATTTCCCAACTGCTCTTCAGCTCAAACGTACGTGAAAGTAGTAGTAATCGGCGCGTTCGTTGTCTCAAGCACGTCGTCAATGTGCATGTGTTCCGGAAAGTAATGCGTCACTGTCAGCAGCGCCTGTACCGATGCATTAAAGTAGCACGTGTTGCCAAGATTCGTAAATCCCTGCACTGTGACGGGCAATTCACTGCTATTCGCAGATTCCAAACTACTCGTCGAAATCGTCACGTCTCGCCCAGCTTCCCTCGTCCGCACCGCTGTCTTGAGCACCTGTCGTCGCGTTTTGTCTTCCCTTGCTTTTGTCGGCAGTGGCATACCCAGCACCGCTGCACCAATCAGTTCTTGTTCATCTTCACTACGTCCTCGTATTTCGCCGTCGATTAGTAGCTCCTGCCCCTTTATCTCTGGCATCAACTCCCCACCTCTAGCATCTACTAGAACGTGGGACGAAAGCACGTTCGCAGTCGATCCAACAGGCGTCGTGATGGGCGACATACTGGTCTGCACCCCGCGTCTCAAATGACGCAATTGGCGCCGTTTCTTGGCTGCAATTTCCTCCACAGCATCCCAAAACTCCTGCCGTGCTGTCTCCACTTTCGGCCGAACGTCGATCGGAATGTCCATGCGACAAGGTTCGCACCAAAACGTCTTGGAAACCAGCTGAAGACCGACAAAATGCTTCGGGTGCATCTCAATATGGGCACGGAAGTGGCCGTTAAGTACGCAGCCTACAAAGGCACAACTTACACACACCACCACGTCCGTTGCAGTCTCATAGTGTTCCCAGCTCTCGACTGGAGATAGCGTGGCGGGTACAATGCAGATCTATAAGATAAGAGAGAGAGCGAGGCAGACGACAGTGATCAAGAAAGAGGGTCAGAGATAAAAAGAAAGAGTCAACAAGACAGAGAGACCATTAATATTAATTTAAAAAGGTCACCAGCGGTCAAGCGCAAAGCATTGTTTTATGAAGGTGTACCGACCTCACAGAGCAAGTGCATGCGCTTCTTGAGCTCCCGACGAAAGTCCGTGAGACGAACGGCCTGGCGGACGTGGCGGCAGCTCTTGTCGCCTGCCATGACCGTCGGAGACAGCGGAAGGAGCTGCTATGGACGCGCTAAGAGTGACAAGGCGGGCGGGTATGGTGTGGTGTACATGAGTTGGCAACTTTACAGGGATAAAGACTGGGGCTATTTGCGGAGAGGAGGTACAGAAACGATAGTGAAGGAAAAAGGACACGAAAGCGAACTTGGATAAGTACTCGAACGCCTTCATCCGAAACGAAGAATGTTTAATCTTATATGCGGCGATCAGGTGCAAAGAAGGGAGCATGTTTTTTTGCAACGGACGGCGGGCGGTTTTGACTTTTTGGAGCTTCGAGTTCCAGTCGTGTTTGTTGTGCTCAGGCTAGCGCTTGCCACCTTGTGCGAAGTCAGGACCGGCTGTAATTATTTATCAGTCTTCGCAAAGGTTGTGGTGCTTTTGCGTTAGCATCCTTCGATACCGGATGGATGAATAGGTGGTGAGAGGCAGCACCATCCCGGCTTCGGATTGACTGCTGATGGTAAAAACACTTGTCGCTGCTCGGCATCGAATTGTGTTGGTGTTGTTGGTAGGAGGATTACATGCTGCAATATCAAACTGAGTCCAAGAAAACTCTTCTCCGTTAGTTTGCGTCGTGCAGAGGCGACTTTTGCCTAACCTACCAGTTGTACGCTACGGCCAGAAGTACTTGCATTATTGTCAATACCGATATTCCTGCCAGAAGCGAATAGAGTGCTGTCGATAGGTTGCATCGACCGGTGTCAACGTGTAATCTCAACGTTTTCAACTATCGTGATGGGATGTATGACGCGTGTGCGGATGCTATCGTTTACTTACATTAGCATGCATATAAACAACAGGGAACTCAATATGAAAGGTCAGTCGGCAGCGTTCTACGCGCGTATTAGAGAATACCATCATCCGAAAAGGCTTCATGATGACGGAATGGTTGAATTACACACTTCTGATCGACTGCAGTATCTTTTTGTCCTAAACGACATCGTTTGTCGTTGACGATAAAGCTCTGTAAAGGGCAAACAGGCCGACTTGTTTTTTTTGTGAGGACAGAGCTAACGTTATCACTCCTTTCCAGATTACTACGGTATGTTGTAAACTCGCAACCAGGATAAAAGTAAACGAGGACAGAGTGGCTCTATGTGATACGGACGTCGCCGTCCTCGTGCGTGAATCCTTTACCGCAGTTGTCATTTATGCTGACACGGTTAGAATAAAATAGCGTCGTTTAAGACCGTGCCTTTTACTCCTAAACCAACAGAGTACGGATAAGAAACAGGATACTGTAAAGGCAAGACAAAGGGTTCGGTGGAATTAGAAACAATATCCAATCCTTAGCTGATTGGTGCCACCGAACCAAAACTGAACAAAAAACACAGCACACGCACAACCAGGAGACTAAAATGGTACGTAGACGTCCGACCTACGGGTGCAAATGACCTGCCTCTCACTACCGCCATTATTGCTGCATGTGATGTTCAGATCTTCTACTCATTCTTCAAGACGCTGGTAGGCAAAGAGGTGGCGGTCGAGCTCAAGAACGACGTGGCGCTCATGGGCGTCCTTGACTCAGTGGACCAATACCTCAACATTAAGCTGCTTAACGTGTCCGTCGTGGAAAGTGACAAGTTTCCGCAATTGGTAACCTATGAAATGGCATACTGTAATCTGCTTTTGCGTGTTACAGTGTGAAGTCTGACGCCTTATGCTGTATGAAGATGAATATGAAAAACTGCTTCATTCGTGGAAGTTCGATCCGCTACGTCCAGATCCCAGCGGCAGAAGTGGACACGGAATTGTTGCAGGATGCCGCCCGTCGCGAGGCCACGGCAAACAAGCAAAACTAGGGCAGAAGTCGACGACATGATTGAAAAGTTCCGAATTGGACCAAAGTGAATCTTGTGGCTCGTGAGGTTCTCTTTCTCTTCAGCCGTGCGCTTTCGTGTCAATTTCTTTCCAGAGACTGCATTAGTTGAGCGATTCAAATAGTGTTTCGGTCAAGTTTGGCACCAGGATAGAGTGGGGACAAGAGTCGATCGTCGAAAGAAACGTTGTTGAGATGGATCGATCGACGTACACGAGCACTGTTCATTTGTAAATCCAGATTAAGGAAAAGAAGTAGCGCAGTCAGAAAAACGTTGCGGTTCACAAACGTTATCGCATGAGATACACGATAAGGTTCAAGGAAGCATGATGGCATCATATTCTACCAAGAAGCTACAATGAGCATGTGGTAGTCTGCTGTACCGTACTTCCACCCACACAAACTGACTCCGATAGAAGGGTTCGAACAGAAATAGAGTGTCAGACAATCGATCTTATTCGTCCAAGTACGACACCTCTATCAGTAATTACGTCTTACTCGGCGAACAACGGATGCAATAAGGCATCCGTCTAGTTGGGCTCCAGAGAACTTCAATCACTAAACGCAGATAGCTAAGGCTTCCTACTGCCGAACGATTAAGATCCGTTGCTTCACGCACGTAGAATAGTAACATACGGATATAACCCACACGTCACCACGACAACTTGCCCGGCAAGTACTTGTCAATGATGCTTTGGTAGTACGGCCACAGCTTCGCCACGTCTGGACGCACATCTGCCTTCGTGTACAAGTCAAACTTGTTGAACTCGAGCACCCAGTCAAGTAGTTCCTCGTCTTCCTCATTCATCAAATGTCGGTACTCCTTCTTCGTGTGCCACGGGTAGCACGAGTGGTACCGGATCATGGCGAGACCCTCTTCCGGGATCGTCGTCTTATTGAACTTGAGCATCTGGTACAGATACTCGTCGTGGCCCCAGGCAAACTTGAGGTGCCGGAATCCACAGTGAGCATCGTACATGCCGTACTTTGTGTTGTAGCTCGGATTGCTCATGTCCGGGTTCGTCGCGTTGTACGTCGGGAAGACGACCGAGTCGGGAATCCGGCAGCCCACGACCCACGTGTCGCCTCCGAGCGCCCACTGATCTCCGTGTGCAGTGCCCTCCTGCCCGTCCTCAGCACGGCCCCAGAGGTACTGGATCTTGCCCATGTCGTGCACGAGTCCAACGAGCTGGAACCACTCGGGATGCCCAGCAGCGCGGATGCCCTCGGCCGTCTGCAGCATGTGCTCGAGGTTCGGCAGCTCCGAGTCGGGGTCTGACGAGTCCACGTACCCCTCGAGCGCTGCAAAAGCTTCTCGAATGGTCATCTGGGCGTGGGAGAACGAGCCGTACTTGGCCAGCATCTGCTCCTGGAAAGCCACGGTCTGGTGCTGCCGCATGAGCGCGTAATGGCGGGACACGATGGCGTGCCGGTCCGAGTCTTCGTAGTTGCGGAACTCCTCTTGGGCTTTCCCGGTAGCGACGTTGCCTGTGACCTCGAGCTTCCGCAGCTTCGTTTGCTCTGGTGCAGCCACGTTGTTGTTGTCGTTGTCTCTTGTCATTGCGATAGTGGCAGAGGTCAGGAGTGGCAGCTACAGAGTCAGATTTGGAATTGACGCTGGAAGCAGATAAATAAAAGAGGTGGTGGCGACTAGCGAATCAGAAGGCGAATCAGACGAAGAGCGGGTGACAACGCATCTGGTTGTGTTGTGTCGAAGGGGAGACTTGTGGTCGAGAGCTGTTGGAAGGGATTGGGCTTTTCGTCGAAAGGAATTGGGGACTTAGTCAGTGTGTGTCATAAATTCGATAGATAGATGTGTTTAGCTGTAATGTCACTCTTCTGAGAACTACCCTTTTATTGCATTCTGAGAGTCACACTTTTTATTGCATTCGAAAAGCGTAAGCTGTAAAGTGATGTAAGTATTTACGCTTCGTCGCATTTATATTTCGATCATAAACAGAATCGACGGTATAGCAAGCAGTCATTGCAAGATATGTGGCTCGATATTTTACGGGACTTGTCGTCGGATGTGTCGGCACTCAGGCTGTCTGATATTTTGCCTCGAAGTTGCCGCGTACCAGATTCCCATCATTAGTTGACTGCCTTCGAAGCGGAGACACTTCGTGTAGGAAACGGATCTCGCTGTTGTATTCACAAGCTGTGATGGAAATACTGCTCAGTGCATGCAACAGTCGCTCCCATATGTATGCGCATTTATTTCATTAGGTCAGGATTCTTTTGAAAAAGGTGTTCCTGCACTACCTTGAATAGCCCTGGTGGTTTTCTGAGTGCATAATGTACGGGGAATCCTCGTTTTCGTAATAATCCCGACGTTCTTCTATCCAATTACATTTGACTTGCTGCCTGCACGCCTGTACGCACCGAAGGACCTATTTATCTACATTCGAAAGCGTGTATTCCACGATTCACAGGTTGTCGCACGAATTGTCCGTCGACGAGTACGTGGGCCATAATTCTTGTTCTACTCTGGTGGCAACTTTCGAAGGACCGAGGGGGTGGCCTAGCGAGCTCTGAACAGCCATTTCTTCAAGGCTGACCTTTTATTTGCTGTTGCAGTCAGGCTTGCGTGCTCGGCATGGGTCTACTACTGCTTCTGTCGTTCCAGATCCGGTAAGTCGGTAATGTCATGGACCCTCGCCACTTCAGGAGAATTTTTTCATGGGCTCCCACGAAATTTCGTTCGAGAGCTGTCGCTTCTGCTTTACGAGTAGTAACACTCTTCTCCTGCCCACTTCTGCGATGAGGCCCGGGGTACTAATGGCTTTCCATGCAAGAAAGAAACTGTTCTTACGCTGAGTGAGTCATAGTACAGCTTGTTTCGTCCGCTGTGTCACATCCTGCATAGTTCTGGCCCCAATCGTAATTTATTTGAGGCCACAAGGTTCGCGTTCGTATTCCACAGGACGATTTGACAGTGTCTTCTTCAACCACATGTCGCGTCAAAAATGGCCAACGGGACAGCAAAAGAACAGACCAAAGTTCAAGGTGCAGTCAGCTACAAGCTTTGTTGCTGTCAATACGGTTCGACTTGAAGGGGCTGCAGAGCCTTACGATGGATTCCTTCAACCTCAAAGTGCAGCGCATAAAAATGCGCCAATGCATTCGACATCGAGAAACCGTATGGAACTCTCGTCACAAAACCTATCCACTCATCTTCCGGGATGCTTTCCTCATTACGGAGTCCCCAAGTCCTTTCGACGAAAAACCCAATCCCTTCCAACAGCTCTCGACCACAAGTCTCCCCTTCGACACAAAACAACCAGATGCGTTGTCACCCGCTCTTCGTCTGATTCGCCTTCTGATTCGCTAGTCGCCACCACCTCTTTTTTAAATCTGTTTCCAGCGTCAATTCCAATCTGACTCTGTAGCTGTCACTCCTGACCTCTGCCACTATCGCAATGACAAGCGACAACGACAACAACAACGTGGCTGCACCGGAGCAAACGAAGCTGCGGAAGCTCGAGGTCACAGGCAACGTCGCTAGCGGGAAAGCCCAAGAGGAGTTCCGCAACTACGAAGACTCGGACCGACACGCCATCGTGTCCCGCCATTACGCGCTCATGCGGCAGCACCAGACCGTGGCTTTCCAGGAGCAGATGCTGGCCAAGTACGGCTCGTTCTCCCACGCCCAGATGACCATTCGAGAAGCTTTTGCAGCGCTCGAGGGGTACGTGGACTCGTCAGACCCCGACTCGGAGCTGCCGAACCTCGAGCACATGCTGCAGACGGCCGAGGGCATCCGCGCTGCTGGGCATCCCGAGTGGTTCCAGCTCGTTGGACTCGTGCACGACATGGGCAAGATCCAGTACCTCTGGGGCCGTGCTGAGGACGGGCAGGAGGGCACTGCACACGGAGATCAGTGGGCGCTCGGAGGCGACACGTGGGTCGTGGGCTGCCGGATTCCCGACTCGGTCGTCTTCCCGACGTACAACGCGACGAACCCGGACATGAGCAACCCGAGCTACAACACAAAGTACGGCATGTACGATGCTCACTGTGGATTCCGGCACCTCAAGTTTGCCTGGGGCCACGACGAGTATCTGTACCAGATGCTCAAGTTCAATAAGACGACGATCCCGGAAGAGGGTCTCGCCATGATCCGGTACCACTCGTGCTACCCGTGGCACACGAAGAAGGAGTACCGACATTTGATGAATGAGGAAGACGAGGAACTGCTTGACTGGGTGCTCGAGTTCAACAAGTTTGACTTGTACACGAAGGCGGATGTGCGTCCAGACGTGGCGAAGCTGTGGCCGTACTACCAAAGCATCATTGACAAGTACTTGCCGGGCAAGTTGTCGTGGTGACGACGTGTGGGTCGTTGTTACCCAGTAACAAATACACTGTGGCGGGAGCTTAATGTAACCTGCTACAATTACGCCGAACGCAATAAGCAACGAAGTGGCGAGTATCATCTTGTGATTTGAATCGAAGATCAGTGTGGTTTGTGTGACTATTCTAGTCAGTGATACGTACTATAAGTACAGCTGATAATCAAGAACTAAGAAGTTTCGTGGCACCCCACACAAATGGTGCTCTGTTACACTTCCTGAATAGCATTCATGACTCTTTACGACACCCCTGCGTTACACTGCATGCATTGATTGCCGCATGTAGGACTTCTGACACAAGATCTGACAAAGCTAGATTGTGTGCAGTAGTATGCATAATGAGTGCTGTGGGAATCGTAAATATTCTGAGGAAGGCAAAGCCGCGAGAGTTTGAACTAAATCGGGCGAGGAGTAAAAAGTTCGTTGCCAGCATGTCTAAAATTCCTTTTGAAGCTATCGTAAATTAGCCAGGCCTATTTTTGTGTTGTATGAACTTTTTTTGAAGTGATACTGACGAGCTGGTACATGGGCTTCTTGATCAAACAGTGCCATGAACAGTGTAAACATAGCCATAAATCACCAAATAATTTGACGACTTCGAGAAGGGAAATATGGGATTAATTGTGTTCCATCTGCCGTTGATGTAGATCAATAAAGCTACCGTCACCTGGTAGCTGTCCTTGTCGCATATCATCTCGTGTATGATCAAAGTTACCCGAATATTCTACATGGACGTACTTTTGTGACCGAATGAAGAAGCCATGTCAGCGCCAACTTTTCTACGAACACGCACTTTATCAAGAAGCAGCATGTGTCGTACGATTTGTAGCTGTTTCGTTAGCGGAAAATCGATGATTGGTCCTGCAAAGCAACCAGCTGGGTCTTCACAATGTGCTTGCAGACTACGACAATGTGGCTTGCTACACAATTCTTTTAGTCCGACAGTTGGTATTTGTGCGAAGTGAGACGTACGCACTGTACATAAGTGAAATATGTTAAAACATGCAAACACGTTCAGTACATATTTCTTGAGTATCTAGTCACGCGAGCACTCCATAAACGGTCGATGGACACTGCAGGAAGAGCGATTAAGTCAAAATAAATGGCTTTGCTCCCATTGCGATCAAGATAGGAGAGCAAAGTCATTATTTACAAAATAAGTCAAAAATCTCTAAACCAAAAATAATTTATCAAGGTCATCATTTTACTTCAGATGCAAGAATTTTTTTTATTTATTTTTATCAAGACAATAATTCCATTTTCCAAATTTATTTTTAAACAATATTATAAAACAACCTTTTACGAAATTTAAATTATTTAAGCTCAAGGCATAAAAAAAATAATTCTAAGTGTTTTAAAATAAGTGAGCACTTAGATTTAGGTCTATAGTTTTTGAAAAAACATTTAAAATATAAAAATGAACTTTATGAATATAAAAACTGGTCAACACGATGGCTACAGCCTAATAAATGTCCGCACGCTAGTCAAGTTTTAATATTTATTACAATGTGGAAGCGAACTAAATGTTCTCAGATCCACGACATTACTGGTTCCCTGCAACAAGAAGCATATGGTTGCAACAAGGCCACAGCTGCTTGCCGTATAGCTGCATTTCCCATTCATAAATCACCTCAACTGCTGATGCATTTTTGGCCAATCCGGATAGCGCTTTTCTATCGACAGTTCTGTTTGGCAACATACTCTCTTAAAATGACTACATTCAGGGCACGACCACTGTAACGGGGTGAGTCCGTTACATAAATTATTACATTCGTAATGATTTTCTTGGGTACTATTTATTTTAATTAAATTCAATCGACATCACTCGCGAAGAGGAATGACGTTGGCCAAATATTACCCCCGAGGATAATATTCTAGGGTGCTCCACTTTTGGTTGATGTAGACACTACATCAATCAGTAGACACTATATCAATCATGTATCGGAGCTGTCACAGCTCTAAAGTCAGAGGAAGACTTTACGGGTTAAGCCAGAGGCTTACGGCTAACAGCCAGTTAGCTTAAAGAAGCTAATTTATCATGTCATAGAGTCAGCTGGTTCTACGGACCTTGATGTGGACTTGAGACTCTATGTCTATTAGCTCAGACTACTGTAGTTCTAAGGAACTACACGCAAAATGTACAAAGGAAAATAAAGGAGTCCAAGGACTCTCTAACCCGCGACAGTTCGACGGAACTGTCAAGCGCAATGTGCGAAAGGGTAGAAGTCTACGGACTTCTACTCAAAATGAGAACTGAGTATATTTAAATTTTATAATAAGATAAATGCTACCATAAGTACCCTATATTCTACTAAAATAGAGCTAATACAAATATTAGCATTCGAACTAAATGGATGGTTTGCACATCACTCAGTCATCAACTGATGATGGTACAAAGTACATCCACGGTAAGTACCGTAACTCAGAGAATACCGACTAATCTTTAATCTCTATTGATAAAAAATCTGAGGCCACACGTGTCTCCCATATTACAGATGGGATGTCTTCAACTGATTTAGCTAATGGCTAGTGTGAACCCGTTACACCCTCCCCCACCAGACTGACGTTACCACAAAACTTCGCTCGACTTGTCTCCTTCTTGAGGTTTTTACTTTGTATCTTGTCATCATGGACCGACCGGGACACCTAACGGAAGATAAGGCTCTAGCCGAATTTTTGTTGCCGAGGAAGTGGACGATAGCAGTGCTAGTAGTACCGTCACCCAGGGGGAAAAGCAATTTGAGCCCAGCACATCTGTGTGTGAACGCTTCCCACATCCGGCACCGAATCCGTTCCCTGAACGTGGTGCCGCGATTGCGCTAACAGCGCTGATTGCGATACCTAAATGGACACGTCCATCATCAGTAACCCACTTGACGAGGAGCAACAACGCATACTCGATCAGGTAGAAAGCGCACGGCGCAAGTCAGAAATTCTGATCATATTACGGCGACACCGTGAATATACATTTACTCCACCTGACGTGAAAGAACTCATTCGTCAAATAACTGGTCATGCTTAGGCAGGGTGGGCCATTGCACCCGAGGCGAAAACGCCCACCGAAATCGAATGTCGTAAGGCCCTTCAAGAAAGTTATTTGGTCACTACCTACCGCTCCTTGAGTGAGTCTCGAGAAAGACTCCAGGAGCAGACCAAAGGCACACCGGTTCCACCGATAAAAGGTGTACCCGTCTTTATGTCTTAGGGTGAATAAGACGTCTCAGAGGATGCTGCGTCCATACGCTGGTCACATGGCGTTTGACGCCTTTGAAGTATGATAGCTCTGAGAGAAAGTGCCAGTGTGGCAGACATTCATCTGGAGCGAATTTCGATGCGACTTCGCAAAGTTAAAGGCCAAAGGCCTACTGAGAGGAATGTCTCATTTCTGCCATGCTTCGGCTGCTCCTGCAGCCGCGAGTTAACGTCAGTATTATGACACCAACCCTCCGTCTACCACTCTGAGAAGCGTGGTGCTCGTCAAGACGGGCCTGATCGTGGCGTTAAAAAACGTCCACGGCATCTGGGCAGTCTTGCCGAAGGGGTATCGAATACTCCCATGAGTTCTCAAAATCGGTATACCCACGCCACTTCACCAGGTATTGGCAGTGACCAAGACGATGACGTCGCTGGAGTAACTTCTCTACATGGAACTAGAGGATCCCATTCCTATCAAGCAACGCCGGTGGCGATCAATTTGTCGGCTGAGAGCCATTAGAATCTGTCGAAAGATGTGAATAGCCTTCGTGAGACTTAAGGACAAACCCTGCAAGCTCTGAACGATGCACAGTATCGTCTGGCGACGCTGTAAGGCGGAAACGCCCGCCTTCAGACGATGGAGACACGTTAGACTCGTGTTGAAGCTCATCTTGATCTCTTGATCCGGATGCAACATTCTGTGGCAACGCCAATGTGCACGGCGCCAGCGCCCTCGAATCAACAAGGGACGGATCTTGGTACGGCTTAAGCATGCCCACATAAAAGACGTTGTAAGTACATGATTTGCGCGATAAGCTGAGCGTATACGCAAGGCCCTTCTTGGCCATGACCGTAATAGGTCCGACAAAGCGCGGAAGCAACTTCGTCTTGAAGACAGCAGACACTACATACGTAGATAGGTTTTTAGCATTAAGTAAAACTTGTTCACCAACCTAATAACTCTTAATACAACCTATTCCTTCTATGTATGCGTGTTCTTTTTGTTTATCATGGCTTTCAGCCATTGCGTCCCGTAACTGTCGTAAGATATTCAATCTTGTTGCAAGGAACTCGCCAACCTGATTTTGAATAGTGGCAGGGCTGACATTGGCAAGCCTATCGGAGATACTTCGCCCAACAAGCCATTAATCACGGGACGGTAGCGTTAACGGAACGCGGGGGGGGTGACCGTTTACAAAAAACGGCGTAGAATTAGTCGAGGCATTAACCGAGCTGTTCATTGTAAATTCGATGACCAGGAGAATGGAGATCCAACGCTGAGGCTTATTAGCGCACACGCTGCGTAAATATCACCAATAACGCGGTTAACACGCTCAGTTTTACCATCTGTCTGCTGACGATCCGCTGTGGACATGTCTAACACTTGGTGCCCAGAACCTCAAGGATAGACTTCCAAATATTTTCGGTTGTCCAAGTCTTTGAACTTATCAAAGCCTATTGAGCGCAATAACTCGACACATTTCTCGCCCTTTGCGTAAGGCGAATGGATTAAATCAGGTCACGACAGTGTCGTAGCATGGGTAAGCTTATATACGGGCTTGAGTGACAACAAATGAGCCAAAGCATTTTCTTTCCTGGCTTGTACTTTACCCCGAAGCTAAAATAATAGAAGCCAACGGGACATTCGTTGTGAGAGGTGAGGCTACTGGGTCGCAGTGCGTAACGACACATGATCTGTATGGATCACAAAAGGATACAAGCCAAGCAGATTCACTTTAACTTTTACAAGAGCGTACTTCATTGCACGTAGCTCCATTTCA